AGATATAAGTAACATCATCACTAATACAATGTATATCTTTTACATAAAGTATGTTTTCAATGATATAAATGGAAGACTGAAAGTCTTTCCTTTATATATGTAGCTACTCCTATCCATAAAATTGACAAAAATTAACATAAGAACTTATGCCAAAGCTAAAATATTCAGGCTAGAATTCTGAAAGAAAGGCCATAAGACCCCTTCCCTAAAATTCTAGTCTCTACAGGGAATTATTATTTGCAGACATTTTCCAATCAGTTGCTACTGCATAAGAAATAATGGAAACAGCTTAGCTAGTAAAATCCTCAGCTCATGTTTGCTCTTAATGCAGTAATGGAACAAGGTGAATGCATGAATAGAGAACCTGAGGGTCACAAGTACATGAATAGATGATTATGGCTTGGGGAAAGAGGAACTGGGGTGGGGGTTGTTAATGTACTAATTATGGCATAGGGTACTACATGTTACATTGAAATGCAAGCAAAACAATATTAATAGACATTGATAAGGTCATAGGAGACCTAAGAGATATTGGCTTAAGGTAGGTTTATGGAAAAGTACCTATAAAAACTGTTACAGGAGTGCTCTTTGCACAGACCTAATGGGCATGATCCCCCTGTGTCATTTTTCTGCGCAGAATAAAGCTTTTGCAAATTTCCAACTTGGTCTGTGGTTTATTGGGCATTGCACAGCGAACAGAACTATTTTCTGTAGTTCTGAACAATTTAATGAAGATAATCTTGGTTCCTGGTTTATGAGAGCCATTACATGATTGAAAGAATTAACAAATGAATACTAGTCCACACGTTTTCTGAATAGTTTTTATCCCAGATAAAATTGCATTCAACAATGAACTAAAGGGCCACTATCAGTGAGCAGTTGGACAGAATTACTTGATCTGTTGTGTGGATGTTTGGGTGGTTTAGGGGTAGAGAATTATGGTGAGTGGGAGTGTGTTTGGGGATTGTTATGTGTGTTGGACCTGGTCTTTGGGTGTTAAGTCAATTTCGTTGTATGGGTATACTGTGTATACACATACAATGACAATAAAATTATTTATTTATTTATTTATTTAGTCTATTTCAAATGTAGACTCTTCAGGCTCTCCTGTGTTCAGATAGTCAGGTTCACCAGAAAGAACCTTATAGGATGGTTCTTGATGGAGAATCTATTCATTTTTATCTCTGCTTGGTCAATGTATTTAGAACCTATACATTGGTTTATACTTATGAGCTACAATCATCCAGGTTTAGAATCCAGCTTAACCAATTAAACTGCATATTCAACACCAGCAGTTACTCTACTTCACTATGTTTTAGCTACCCTATGATTGCCTTTCATTCCTGAATGTTGTTAATAGTAATTGGATTGGGTGAATATTCCAGACTATAAGCACGGTATATAAACTAGGTTTTTGCCCATATACTTTTATAAGCCCAGTATATAAAATTGGAACTTTGATCATGCAAATTAGATGGGTCAGATCATGTCCCTAGGTCTTTAGGATTCTTTATTTGCTGTGAAATAAGCAGTCTTAAAACTTGTTTTTCAGGAAAAATAAGTATATAATGGCAAAATATATATTTTACTGTTTGAGTGGAGTGGAGTTCTTTTCTGTCTTAAAAAAAATGCATATGGAGACTGATGATTTTTAAAAAATGAATATAGGACAAAGGAAAGTCTCATTTTAAATTAAATATCTGTTTATTTGGAGGTTTTTAAATTGTATGAGTTTTCTTAAAATAATTTTAAAATAATACATTGGATATTGCTGTAATATAAATTAGAACATATTTTATTAGCAATGGATTTGTGTTGTCCTATTAATAAAAACTATTTTCAGTAACATTTTCTGTCATATATACATCATCATTTCTTTGCTATCTCATTCTAATTATTCATAAATATTGTGATATGCTCCTTTTTCTATCTCTCACTTTTACACATGCACACAAACACACAAATTGCTTTGTTATTATTCATTATTCTAAATCCAGATTTGATTGCATTCCACAAAATCACAAATCTGGTGTTGTTTTCTACTAATTATTGTGCATTTTAATCTCAAAACACACACACAAATGAAGAGTGGTTTTTTTTTACATGATGGACTGCAAGCTGCCAAGTTACTGTACAAAGATGAAATATTTTTCAGTGAAATATTTTTCAGTGACTCATTCTTTCAGTTTGTCTCTCTCTTCTTGTACACTTCAGTATAAATTCACTAATTCCCACAGCACTATTCCAGCATTCCTGCCCAGCTCATGGTTGAGTGGGTTGAATGGATCTTAACATAATAACAGTTAAAATGGATCTAGGAGTTCTTCTAGTTCAACCCCTTGCTCAGGCAGGAAAACCTGTATCATTTCAGACAAATGATTGTTCAATCTCTTCTTAAAAACCTCCAGTGTTGGAGCACCCCCAACTTCTGGAGGCAAGCCATTCAACTAATTAATTGTTCCAACTGTTCAAAAATTTCTCCTTACTTCTTGGTTGGTTCTCTCCTTGATTAAGTGCCATCTATTTCTTCTTGTTCTGCCTTCTCCATCTTTTCATTAAACTAGACATATGCAATTGCTGCAACCATTCTTCATATGTTTTAACTTCTAGTCCCTTAATCATCTTTGTTGCTCTTCTGTGTACTCTTTCTAGAGTCTCAGTATCAACCAAAACTTGATGCGGTTTGATTTTGTGATAGGAAGAATAAATGATGGAATTAATCTATAACTAAATAAAAATATTCATATTTTATATATCAAAGTTACATGTTTCAATTTCTGCATTACCACTTAAAAAGAAAATAAGTAGTTGATGAGATGTAATAAACCTCGGTTAGAGGCATTAAAATAACAGTACTAAGCTAGGTCACCAAACTATCCCATATTGAATAGTGAGGCAACTTTCTATATTTACATACACTTCTACAAGTGTAAAGAACAGGAGTGAGAAATTTATAAAAGAAAAAGATGTGGCCTTATAACATATAAATCATCTAAAATGTGGATGCCCTTCTACAAAGAACACTAAAATGAACAGTTTATTGGGCTCAGCATGTTTTCTGTGCTATTTTTTTCTGTCCAAAAGACATACTTTATTGCTGGTTGCTTTTTAAACTACAGAATTAAAAAATAAACTCTCAAAAATATGTCTTGGCTCTACTGCCTTCAAGATGGCTCAAAGTCATTCATAAATGGTTTTATAGGATCTCCAGGGAATAGTATATCAGACATACTTACTTTGTAATACTATTAAAGACTTAGTGTTCAATTCCTATCTGCACTTTATTCATTTTTCCAACAATCTGTACCAGAACTCTCTCTGACATGGAGAAGATAATCAGAAACAATATAATACAAAAGACTGAGGTGCTTTTTATGTTTGCTGTGTTCTTTGTGTATTCCTGCTTTCTTTCAAATTAACTCTGCCCCCCACCCCAGTCTAATCTGATTTTGAGGACAAAGACCTTCAAATCTAAAGAAGCAATTAAGCCCCAAGCCATTTAAGGATGCCAGTCCTTAAATTTATTTACTTATTTACTTTGCTAAAAAGCATCTTAAGATGCGATGGTTTCTTTTCATGGTTTCACTAAAGTCAAAGTTTAAAATTATATTTAAGCATTTTAAAACCGCAAGAAGAAAACAAGGAACGATGACAGTTGAGTAATGGTAACTCAGTACCTGCTTAATATTTCAAAACAGATCTGGCAGTCCTTCAAAAAAAAAAAAATCCCTCTCTGCTTATAAATTAAGCTTCATGATTGATTAAATGTGTAGGGTCCTGCTGCTTTCTTTGATTTGCTTTGGATGACAATGTAAATCCACAGGAGCCAGGTTATGATGAAGATCACTTGCATAGATCACCCACACTTTGCTTTCAAAATCCCTGTCAGTATTAGGCGAATTGTGTGTGCGTGCATGCGTCTGTGTCTGCGTCTCTCTGTGAGTCTGTGTTTAAAAAAACAAACTTGGTTTGGAAACATTTTTTAATGTCTTCCAAATATTTTATTTGTATATATCTCATTCTTTTCCAAATTCTTTTTGTACTTGGATTTCATGTGTGGACATGCATTTATGGGATTCCCATTGATGTTGGCCATAATTTATACCATAGGTCAGTGATGGCAAACCTATGGCATGCATGCCACAGGTGGCACATGTAGCCATATCGGTGGGCACGTGAGCTCAGCTCCTCTGGAGGGCCTCCGGGGAGTGGTCGGAAAGACCATTTTCGCCCTCCCCAGACTCCTAGAAAAGCTCTGGAGCCAGGGGAGAGAGAAAAATGGGCCTACTGGGGCATTGTGTGCCAGGAGCAGGTGGTGCGTGGGGGCGGGTGTCACACGTGCATGTGCGGGGTGCATAGAATTATGGGTGTGGGTGCATGCACAACCCCTCCCCATGGTCACCCCACTCCTGGCATGCGATGGCCAAAAGGTTAGCCATCACTGCCATAGGTTGTGTGTTTTCTTGAAACTGACCTACAGTTGTTTGTAAATAATATATTATATCATTGTTCAGATATCATTGAAATAGATGATTTTTTTTCAAATATTCACCATTTGATAATATATCAAATAATTGAAACTTTTTCATTTTAACATGAGCCAAATTATTTCATTGCTACTGAAATTCAGTAGGGGAATACTTGCATTAAGGGTGAACAAATTGCTGAATTTCTGTCAGTTTTAATTTATATCACACTCTAGTCCATTTTGGTTTATTATATATATATATATATATCCACATCTTATAAGAGAATACATAGCCATTGCCTTGTGAAGATTTACTTTAAACAACATTTTTTGCCTAATACTCTTAAACTTAGTTTGCAAAAATGTTTATATAGTATATCATGAATATTTTAAATCTATGAAACTTCTCTTCTGGACTATTAGAAATTCAGCTCATGTTAGAAAGGCATGTCAAAATATATGTAAGATATAAGTTTCACTGTTGGATGTTTCATAAAAAAATAATTATTTTAAAAGAATAGGTGACACTTACTTTCTGCAGGCTCTTTAGATTTTCTTCCACTGGAAGATTTCCTCAGTAAGCTTCGTCCTGAGGTAAAAAGGCTGGTTAATTCCTCCAGAGGACTAGTTGGTGTTCTAGAACGTGAAGTACTCTGTGATGATGACCCGTAGGTATTGACAGAGGCATTTACCGTTTTCCCTCCTTCTTGCAATATGTTTCTGGCAGTAGAATGAGGCACTGATGGAGAACTTCTTGAGAGACTTCCTGAATGTACAGAATCATAAGGAGGAGGTCTTTTGAGACTTAAAGGAGTAAGTGACCGACCCATACTCACAGGAGAGGGAGAGGCTGAATGGCTTTTTGAATAGCCATGGGGAGACTGTGTTCTGTATAGGGTAGAAGGATGTGGAGGTGAAGAGGAGTGCCCTTGAGTAGTAGTTCCATGGGAAGCTGTCTGATCTTTCTCTAGTTTTTGATGACTTGGAGTATGAGGTGGCAGTGAGGATGGAGAAGCTCCACTTTGCTGTTTAATATAACACACATTTTCTAATACGGGAAGCTTTGTGACTTCCAAAGGTGTTAAAGGAGATTCGTCAGAATTTGGGGAACATTGTACTGGTGCAGGTGGGAATACCAAGAGCGGTGGTCTATGAGAAAGCAAATTTGGAAATGGTGGTGGGATATCACAAATCACACCTTTGGGAGTGGATGGCACTGAGGACTTGGTGAAATCAAGGTCAGGCACTGTGGGAGTAGCACACTGAGAGGAACAGCTATGATGGTCAAACTCACATGGACACTTTGAATCTTGGCCTCCATCCTCAAAGATGGGGTATTTCATTTCTTCATATACTGCCTCATTTTGATCTTCCTCGTCTTTTTTGAAGTCTCTTAATATATTTCCAACCATTTCAATATAAACTGGCTCTTCTTCCTCTGTATCTAGAGCAGGACTGCTGACTTGGGTCAAAGAAGCATCTCTACTTAGCACAGACTTTATGGAGCCATGCTTTTTGATATACGTTTCATCAAAAGATGCACTTAGTTGAGTGTTTGGATTCCGCTTTGGCTTTGGGGGAGGAACCTTCTTTGTGTATTCATCACTGTGAGGCCTTGGCTTGGTGGATACTATAAGGCAAAGACAATACACATTAATCAGAAAATTAATAAAAACATTGTGTATTTTCAAAATACTTGTTGGAAAATGCCTATTCTGTTTTGATGATTGATCTTTTATGTAAGTTCTCCAGAACTATTTTGTGTGCTGAAAGATATATTTAATGAAACATAGTGGAAATAACTCACCAAGTTCACTGATTGCTTAGATGTGGCAATGTTTAATCAAAAATGATATTGTCTGTTCATACTTTATGAACATAAGACTACTCATATGGTATCATCCAAACATCTAATCCAGAATTCTTTTCTATGCTGAACAAGGAATGGAAAGAGTACATGCACTTAAGATCAAATCTGGCTCTTGCCAATTTTTTCCCCTGTGGCATCTTACTCACCTCCAACTCCCCCTCCTCCCATAATGATTTAAAGTTCTTGTTAAGAACTGGACAACACAAAAACCTTACAAAATGATGTTGTTGTCTTGTTATTCGAATTATTCCATTTTTTTCTCAATAAGGCACAGTGAACATCATTAACATGTGCCTAAATAGCCTTTTTTTACCGAAGTGAATGCAATTTTATCTGTGGAATGACCTAATTGTACATGTTATTTTTCAAATATTTCCAAATCTATTCCACTCATAACCTATGTTAATGGGCTAAATTAGTATCTAAATCTCCATAGACATGTAGAACATCACCTTTTCTCCTATGCAAAATATATGGAAAAGACAGATGACTTTTTTATGTGAGTCTAAAGTATGGTGATTTTCAACTACTGGACTCAGCCAAGACTTATTTTATGCCCAAACTAATCAGATAAGTGGGCAATTAGTATGCATTCAACTTCCACAGGTTTGGATTTCATGAAATGGAAATTAAAGCAATCTTATGCAGAATTTGATATAAGATGGATGACTACATAAATGTAAGAAAGAAAGAAAGAAAGAAAGAAAGAAAGAAAGAAAGAAAGAAAGAAAACTTAAATGCTGTCTGAAACACATTTCCAGTTCATGGAGTTTTCTATACTATGCCATAAACAGCATGGATTAATAAATAAGCTTTCTTTAGATGTCACATGCCTCCTTCTAAGAAAGATTGTATGAAATGACCTTCAGGTTTATCCAAATCTGCACCTCTCCATTCTTTGAAAAGGTCCTTCCTTTCTTTAGCTCCCCTCAGCTTGCCATTTAAGCATTATGTTAAATGCTTTATAGCATGTTGAAGATAGAATGGTTTGAAATGCACTGTGGTAGCACCTGGCATTTTCTCACCTGGTGTACAATGTCATTTTATGCCACACACAGAAAATGCAATACAATCAGTAGCATAAAGGTTAATTGATTGTACCCGCATGCTTAATATAGAAGATCACTGAATAAAATAAACATTCTTCCTTCATATCACGTTACCAGACTAATTTTCCTTTTCTGAATGAATATATGAAGACCTTTCATTAAACAAAAGAAAAAAGAAAAATGCCCCCCTTTTCTTCTAGGGAGACTGGGGTATAAATATTTTATAATTTATTTTAAAAGATCTGTGATATTCTTTTGCTGTTGTTAAAGCTCTATAGGAATAGTAATATTAGGAAGAACAGAGGGAAAGCAAAAAGAAGGACAAGGGAGCACTTCTTATTTGGAAAAATGTGGTCACAAGCTAATGAGAAGGGAAATTGGGGCATTGCCCCAAAAAGGAGCTTTAAAAAGACAGATATCTTAAAAAGAGAGGAAGAAAGTACTTAATCTTCTGGGATGAACTTGCCTTCTGATTCCTATTTTCTCAAGGACCCCTTCCTTTTCCGCTTGGGGATTATGTTAGTTGAGATATCAAAAATTGTTTGGCTTGTCTTGGAATAATTCTTCCTGATTTTGGTTCCAAAATTCAGTATTCCTTGAGTTGAGTCTAACAGAGATGGACGAAGGATCTGATTTGAGGACTAAGGTTGGCGAAGGATCTGATTTGAGGACTAAGGCTGGTAAACATAGAATGTTTTAAAAAAATGCTCCTAAATTAGTTGGGGTATCCCAATAAGATATTCACAGGGGCTGTACATCTGTAAAAAAAATCGGTGTATCGCTGCACTCCTAAATTGAAATAGGACACAGCAATACTATCAATATGTTGGTGATACAGATCTTTACATCTCAAACCCAAACCAAACTGGAGGTACTATGATCCTTTGCCCCAAGAATAGTTCTCCATTTTTTGAAGTGAAGAATGAAGAATTTATCAGGTAATGTTTCTCAGTTGCACCCCAACCCAATAGCAATCTTATGAGCAGTATTCTGGAAACAGATAAATTGGAACTGTTCTGAAAGGCATTGGAGGATTGGAGTTGCTGCTCTCTATTTGCTATTTTTGCATTATTTATTATTCTTGCTTTAATATTTGATTTTCATTACTATGGTATTTTCTTCATACATTGTTGCATGTTTAAACTGTGTAGCTTACAGCAGTATATAAATGAAACAAACAAAGGACTACAGCAATTCTGCACACAACAATCATGGTAAAAATTATGAAATGTTACTGACATAAGTAAGCAATCAAGAGCCACGGTGGCGCACTGTTTAGAATTCAGTACTGGAGGCTACTTCTGCTGATCACTGGCTGCCAGCAGTTTAGCAGATCGAATCTCACCAGGCTCAAGGTTGACTCAGCCTTCCATCCTTCTGAGGGGGGTAAAATGAGGGCTCAGATTGTTGGGGGCAATAGGCTGACTCTGTAAAGCGCTTAGAGAGGGCTGTAAAACACTGTGAAGCGGTATATATTGTAAGTCTAAGTGTTATTGCTATTGCTATTCTGCACATTTCTGAAAACTTTTAGCATGAATGGTTCAAATGTGTATATGAGACACCCTGTATGTGTCTCTTTGTAGGATATTTAGTGTCCTATTGGCAATGGAATGGAGAGTTAGCAATCTCTTTGACTGAGAAAAACTTACAATGTTGTGTTAATACTTTGACATTTCTGTCAAGGGCAATATTCTTTCTGTGCTAGCACATAAACTCCCACGAATAACCCACCCTAGTCAATAGCCATGTTTAATGATAAGTCACACTCTCCATGGTTTTCTTTTAGATATAGAAACCTATCCAAGATGATTCCTGCCAAATTACAGCAAGAATCTGTTGAGTGAAGAATAAACATAAATAAGTCAATAGCCACCCCTGCACTAACATGTTTGCAAAACACCAATTTTTCATGATAGGGAATGTGGTGGCTCAGTGGCTAAGACGCTGAGCTTGTCGATTGAAAGATCGACAGTTCAGCAGTTCGAATCCCTAGTGCTGCATAATGGGGTGAGCTCCCATTACTTGTCCCAGCTTCTGCCAACCTAGCAGTTTGAAAGCACTGTTTAAAAAATGCAAGTAGAAAAATAGGGGCTACCTTTGGTGGGAAGGTAACAGCGTTCCCTGCACCTTTGGCATTTAGTCATGCCGACCACATGACCACGGAGATGTTTTGGGACAGTGCTGGCTCTTCGGCTTTGAAATGGAAATGAGCACCACCCCCTATAGTCGGGAAGGACTAGCACATATGCTTGAGGGGAACCTTTACCTTTAAGTACATATTTTCTACATTCATATATAGACCATATATCTGAAATAAATGCCCCTTTCTTCCAACTATACAAAAACAATACTGAGTTCATATTATTTTCTTGCAATACATTTTTTAAATTGTACATTTTGTATAATTCAATATTAAATAAAGTACAGCCAGAAGGCTGTCTGGAAACCCTAATCATGAAATTAAAGATTCAATATTGCATTTTGCAATAAAATACAAAACTCCTAATGCTTGGAAAAATTGGAGGCAATTGAAAAATAGACTGACAGAACACCAAGTGTCCCAAGCAGGAGCTTATAAGAACACAAAAAATAGATAGTTTTTCAGATAGTCCTGAAAAAATTATGTTTCATATTATGAAATACAATCCCATCCAGACTGGAACTGGGATTCTAGCTTAAAGAATGGTAGCATTCAAATTTTGTCCTCCTCATCTTTACTCCAGATAGAATTTTCCACATCTTTCCTTTTTAAAAAGTGGTTTTACTATGTACATTGTTCAGTGTGTATAGAAGGGTTAGGGAATATGAGCTTCCACATACCTATGTTTGAAAGTTAATATATAATTTGGGTCCAAATTTATTCAGAAAATTTTAAATAAAGGTAAAGAATGTTGTATTTCACAAGTTGCAGTAGCACTACTGAGATGAATGAAACTGGTATAGGCATATACAGGTGTACTATAAGAAGCACAGAAATAAATTGGCTGTTATGAAACTACCACTATCCTCAATTTATGACTACAATCAAACCCAGAATTATGGTCGTAAGTCATGCCAGTCACTAAGCAGTCACCATGTGATCACACCTGATTTTACAACCTGTTTAATGGTAATCATTAAGCAAATATGGACATCACCTGAGGAAATAAAAAGAAGTCAAAGTTTTCAGGTGAGATAGGAGAATAAAGGAGTCAGTCAATTTAATTTAATTAATGTAACATTTAAAATTTAGGCACCACCCATCTCTAAACTCTAGATAGGGTTGTCAAACTCCCGGCCTGTGGGCCAGATGTGTCACTTGCTGGCCACACCTATGCCCAGGTTAGGGAAGGGGGAAAAAGTCCTGATACATCACGTGATGCCACCGTGACAACATGAGTTTGACACCCCTGCTCTAAGAGGTATACAATAAGACCAAACAGAATAGCAAATACAATATAATGTTTATAAAAAAATGGAATGAAAAGGGAAGAACAAGAGCTAATTCCAAGTCAGGATAACAACCATGACATCCTAAAACAAATCTGACAGGAGGCCGAACCATTCTAACCCTAACTAATTTAAAATTACAAAAGGGAAATGAGAGACACAGCATTCCTCTTGGAGTGCCAGGAAGGTGACTCATGAGCAAGAGGTAAAAGGAGACTGTACAAGGCTTTTCCTGGCATTATGCCCTGCTGGCATGTCTGCTTGCAGCTTGAGAAAATTCTA